TTCACATTTCCTGCCTGTGTCCTTAATTCCAAAACTAGCTTTCAAGACAAAAGGTCTCTGTGTTAGAACACCATCTCCTAGGCAGGGCAGATCGCTCCTTAAAAAGCTGTATTGGTGCCTGAGAAACGCGAGTATCCGCTTTACCAGCTCAGCCATTTTCAGTCTTTGGAAAGTGGTTTTGTTCACCCTGAACTGATGAATTTCTATTGAAATGTTATGTTTCTCTAACACACACAATAAACTGGCACTTGGCAGTGATTTCAACAAGTGAATGGGGCCAGGCTGCCATCAGAACAAAGCTGAGGGAGCTGAAGCAAGCCAGATGTAAATGAGTTCATCTACAGAGAATCCTTTCTCTGAAGGCTGTTAACTTAAAACAAAACGGCTGTCCTCTCCTTTGGGTGCTAAAGCTGCCTTCCCTGGTCTGCACTGAGAGAAGCACATCTGGTCTAAGAACCAGAGAACCAAGTTACTACGGCAAGAAATGCTAGGCCTCCGGAGTCCTGCTCTCACCTGGGTAAGGTGCTCGATTCATTCTCCCTCCAGAAGGCCCAGCCCCACCACACTTCCTGCCATCCATGCTGACCCTGGCCACACGCAACCCTGGGCTTGGATTCAGCTACCTTCAGCAGCTCTGACCCCCTTCTGACAGTGGGCTCAGCACCTAGTCATGCTGACTTGACCAACCCCAGCACAGCCTCTGAGAGCCTTGACCCAGCCAACGGCTGGAGCTGCTCCCTCTGATGGGATGGTGGGATCCAGCCAACCCCCTCTATGACTGAAGTTCTCATCTAAAGGAAACATGTGTGGTGTGTTTGTGTGTCCATGTCTTCCCACACTCCTGGACACTGAAGAGCAGCTCCAGGCCTGGGAGGTGAGACCAGGGTTGTACAGAGCTATCCAGCACTGATGTGGCCACGTGTTAGAATCACGGGGTGGGGGGTTTGCTTTGCAAAATTTCCTATCAGTCTAGGATGGGGCCTGGGCATCAGAATGTTCCAAAAAGCATCCCAGATGGTGTTAATATGCAATTAGGGCTGATGTAGAGAGAAAGAGGCAGTGACCATCAGTGAGGCTCCCCTGTGCGCCCAGATGGAGGAGAGCACACAATTTAAAAGCGGGCCCCTTTCCTGAGTAAGATCATCTCTGCAGCCTACCAGGTGACAAGAACAGTGTGTTGAATTTGGGTGCTATGTTTCATGCAGACAGTGCCTCTTTAACTAATCAGAGCCTCAGTTACCCCAACTATTAGGGAAACAGCTACTCTAGATTCACTTGTGTTACTTCTCTCATCTCCCATTCTCCAGCTTTATGCATCAGCCTTCTCTCTCCACCTCTCATGTAATGCAGACACAAAAACGCTATATATGTTGCCTTGAGATTTGATTTGGATAGTGTCTGCCCTCTAAGTAAATAATAGCACAGAAATGATAAGCTCTATAATTTAACTAGGGAATATGACACTGATAATGTGACAGTCCCTAACGCATAACATACTCCATTCCTGGCACCGGAGCTAACCATTCCACTGGGGAACGCTTGTGTGGAAATGCACAGATCTCGCCCTTGGGTGCCAGCCAGGCAGCAGCTCTCTGCACACAGCACCTGCTCGCCACAATGCTGCCACTCTTGATTCCCTCTGAGCTGGGTTTAGTATGTGCTTATCAAGAAGATTCATTTTAGAACTATTTTCAGAACAAGTCTAAAGACCTCCTTAAGGGATATATTAGCTACATTACTTTAACCCAGTGAAATACATAAATCTCTCATCCTGCAATAAATTCAGCACATAGGAGGGCAAGCAGTCTCTCAGATGGGCCTACTTGGATGAAAAATAGCATGGAAATATGCAAATGACCAGGGCACATGGCAGAAGGTGCAATAAAGCGGGTCTCTGGAACCCTATTTACAATGATCTAGTTATCCAATCAGAAACCTGGTAGTTATTCTAGAAGCCTACCTCCCGTCAACTGCCTCCCACTCCTTCCAAATCCCTAAGTCCTACAGATTCGATTTTGTGCACACATTCATATTTGTCTCTTCTATCCCAACCCATAGCTCCTATTTAAATGTGCTGCTTCCCAGACTCCTCCAGTGGCCTCCTAACTGCCCCTCTGTATTGAGTCTTGCCCCCTCCAATCCATCCTTCTATGTTCTGCCACAGCAATCTTTATGAAACAATCCTGACCACATTGCCCTCTCATTAAAACCTTTCACTGGCCCTAACCTTTTTGGCTCAGTGGATAGAGCATCGGCCTGCAGACTGAAGGGTCCCAGGTTTGATTCCGGTCAAGGGCATGTACCTTGGCTGCGGGCACATCCTCAGTAGGGGGTGTGCAGGAGGCAGCCGATTGATGTTTCTCTCTCATCGATGTTTCTAACTCTCTCTCCCTCTCCCTTCCTCTCTGTAAAAAATCAATAAAATATATTTAAAAAAACAAACAAAAAACCTTTCACTGGCTCCCTACTGTCTACAGAATGACATTCAAGGTCCAAGCAAGGTATACAACACCCGCCCCCCCAGTCTCATCTCTCCAACCTCAGGTCTCCTGTGCCTCACCTTAAGCCCTCTGCTCCAGTCTGATGAGCTAGCTACTTGGAGCTCCCAGCACACCAGCCTGCCTTGCATCTCCTTACCTCTGTCTGGGCTGTTTGAATGCCAGCATTCAAACAACTCAGGTTCTTTACAGCTTACAATATGGAACTGCCTCTTATTCCACGTGTGAGTCATTTGTAGAGGCAAAATAAATAAATAAATAAATAAATAAATAAATAAATAAATAAATCAGTCCAGGCAAGATATCACCTTCTTATCCCCTCAGAAATGATGTATGTGTTCTGTATTCCTGAAAGAAGGGTCATGTTTCAAGATATTCCAAAAGCTGATAGTGTGAAACTATCCAAGTGAGTTACTCCCAGACCCGGGTCCTCGCTGTTTCAAGCGCCGTCTCCCTGGCAGTGGTGATTATTTGAGTGAGGTACAGGGTGGAGACACTGATTACAGCAGAATGACTGTGGCGTAAACCAACATAACATATGAAGTCTACCTCCACATCCCCTGCCCGTGTAGAAGAAAAATAACACTGGGAATGAATACTGACTTCCCTGGGTGTGTGGCTTCTACGCCAATGAAGGAGTCACATAAACATAAAGGCAGCATCCTTGATTCCTCAGCGGGCAGCCCCAGTGCCCAAAACAGAGCTTCTAGAAGGCTCTGGGCCCACCTAGAATTTCCATTAAAATGTCCAATATCTGCAACGTGGCAGCAACTTAATACCTAGCAGCTACCCTCTTCTCCAAGTGCTGATTTCATATTGGAAAATGAGCAATTTAAATAAATGTTTCATTAACAGAGTGTTCTCCTGCTTGATGCTAATGTTATTTGTTTTCCTCAATTCTCTTCCATGGAGTCATTTCATGCAATCCTCCAAAGGACAATCTGAAACTCTTCCGGTCCCTAATAGACAATCCAGGAAACCTAGAAACCATCCAAACAACCAAAGAAATAAGTGAAAACCCTTAACTAAAGAGCTATTCAGACCCATCTGTTCCGGAACACACATCACACATGATACAGAACAGAACGAACTCTCCTAACCACCTTGGTGGCACTGGGTTTGTACTGATGGCAGCAAAGGATCCTGCAAAGGGCACTGCTGGTCCCTGAGACAGAAGTGGAGGGGCGGCTTATTCAGGAAGAATGTGTGGGTGTGACATTTGTTTTAAGGCCCTACAAGGCTTGTTCCCATTCTGTCCCTATCTGGACAGGATTCTTGCTTGACGCTGGTTCCAAATCCAAAAAATTTCAAGGATATTTCCAACATCTTTTATTAATAGAAGTTATTTAAAAATTTCATAGCACAGGGCTCAGATACACTCCAAACAGGCAAACGCAAATAAGGGTTTGTTCCCCCCAACTTTGTGAGACACAGAATGGCTTGATCATGATGGACACCACATTAGTGAAAGGTCATCTTTTGGGCGGGTCCAGTCACTTTGGGATGGTTCTGTGTGTGCTGTTATACTAAAGGTGAGATATTGATTTGGTTCTATTCCACACGGGGAGCAAAAGTAAAACTCAGTGAAGAGGTGAAGCACTTCAATAGTAAACTGTATGGAACTTTCTGGGTGCCATGTGTGTGGCGGTAAGTGCAAGACCCATGAAAGAGTGTGGAAATAACACTGGTGGGGCTGGCACTCCAGGCTCTGCAAGGCACTGAACAAATTAACCTCTGAGCTTCATCTCCTTATTATAAAATAAAGCAACAATGATAACACTGGCGGCAGTGGTGGTGGCAGCTACCCTTACTGAGGACTTACAATAGAAGGTATTATTGGAACCGCTTTACAAACACTTGTGAAGCACCATCTCACTTCATCCTGAACCACATGTAGGGAGATGTTATCAACTTCATTTCACAGAGGAGGCTCAGAGCTCAGTAACTGGCCCAAGGTCAACTGCTAGAGCAGTGGTTCTCAACCTTGGCTGCACATTAGAATCACCTGGGAATCTTTTTAAAATCCTGATTTCTGGGCCTCATCCTCCGGAAATTCTGTTTCTTTGTTATGGGATGGGGCCACAATATTAGTAACAAAGAAACAGAATTTCCGGAGGATGAGGCCCAGAAATCAGGATTTTAAAAAGATTCCCAGGTGATTCTAATGTGCAGCCAAGGTTGAGAACCACTGCGCTAGAGTGAGTGTCAGGGTCTCAGTTCAAAACCAAGTCTACTTGACTGCTGTGATCTTAGGGAAAAAATAACCACCGCAAATGACTGCTGCAAATGATATAATACATACAATGTAGAGTTGAAAATGTCCCTGAAAGAAAGCACTACGTCAGCCTCAGTCGTCACTGACAGAGCCCACCTCTCCCTGCAGCCAGGTCTGTCGCCCTCTTTGAACTCTTGGAGGCCAGTGCCCACAGCCTCCTCCCTCCTTGAATTAGGGATGGATAATCCCAAGGCAGCCAGAGAAGAAGGCGTGCCTCTTGGACTTACTTTCTGAGCACGGCTATCTCATTCTCTATGCTGCTTTCTTTGCCCTTCAGCGCCTTCTTAGGAATGCACTTCACCGCAAAGAGCTTTCCAGTTGCTTTCTCTTCGGCTAAAACCACTTCAGAAAATGCCCCACTGTGAAGAAAAAGGGAGAAAAAGAGTGGTTTAGTTCAGGATTTAGGAGTTCCAAAGGCTCCTCTAATCCCACTGCCAAAGTTTGAGCAATAACAGCGACGCAAATGACCACCAGCATTGCTATACTTTATTACCCAGCATCACTCCCGACCAAACTTCTATGCAAGGAAGTACACACACAAATGTGCCCTCATGCAGAGGGACACGTGGATGTCCACATGGGTTTGGCTGCCTCCCAGTGCCACTTGCTACCCTGCAGAACATCATGTAGCAGCGACTTGGGAGCAAACAGAAAAGCTTCCAGCAAGATTCCTACTGAGAAAGATGGTGTCCATCTGAAGCTGTCAGCACCCCCACACCCAAGTAGACCAGTATGACTATACTAAAATTTCTAGATTCCTCTCAGGCCCTTCCATCCCAAGAACATTTCAGAGTACTTCACAAACATTTAATAAATTTTTGCATACAGGTAAGGATGTGACTAAAGTGTGAGTTAGTGCCACATGTGTTATCGCCACGGAGTTAATTAATTGGTAGGGGGTGGCATGCAAGTCTTCAATAAGCATCTTGTTTCTTTATTAAACCAACCAAACAAAGACACAAATGATGCTGAGTGAGATAGACTTTCCTGCCTGAAAATATAAATTTAACTCTGTAAGGGCAGAGCAACAAGCTGAAAACATAACCAAGACTTGAGGCCAGACAGCCCATTTCTCCGGAGAGGTCCCCTGTGGTCAGTGAACCCCAGAGCCAGTGCCTCCCTGGCTGCCTTGCCCCCTCCCTGTATTTGCCAGCAGCAGCCTGGATGATGCGCTTAGGTTGGGGGGCAGAACACCCCCAATGAGTCCTCCAGTGTTCACTCCTGATCTCAGTAACGTGGACCTGTGCACACGGGTCAAGGAAAACCACAAGCCTCTGAGTCATTCTCTATGCCTAGGCTTCCTTTTATATCCTCAGAGAGAGAACAAATGCGGCTTCTACACAGTTATGATGAGGGACTACCCCTCCTACATAAAAAGAAACCCCTGGAAGGACCAATGTCATCCCAATAGCCATGCCTAGGGGGCCTTTGTTCTTCAGTCAACATCAAAGAGATGCCTAAGCAAGGACAACATACTTTTGCCTCCCTCTCCTTCCCCATCTGAAGGGATATGCATCTGTCAAAGGAAGATAAGTAGATATTTTAAAAATCCTTTCCAGTGAGAGGAATTCACTCCACTTAGTACAATTAACTGTTTGGAACAGCGTTCCTACTGGAACATTAACTCCCACGAGAGAAGTCCGTCCATCTCCAAGGTCTGCATCTAATTACATAAACCTGAGGGGCAGAAGATAGGCATTCCACAACAGAACCAAGTGGAAAATGCCAGAACTGAGGCATTGCACCCAAATCCACAAATAATCGGCAAAGAAGGATTCTCCCCTCACAGTACCGTAGGCCTCACATGGAACCAGGCAGAAGAGCAATTATGAAATAATAAATACATGAAAACCCACAATAGATTTATCATAAAGTAATATATGGAATAGGACATTCCCAGTAACATTTAGTCACTGCCAACGACTTTTGCCCCAAAAGACCAATTCATACAATTTCAGGCACCTCCCCCCCACCCCCATCTCCTCCGCAACCCAGGGGTTGTCTCTCCCCTGGCTTCTGTCTCAGGGACAGACCCAGATGGATTCATCTCAAAGTGAGTGTGGTTTCTAAGCTGGAAGAAACTGTGGACAACTACATACATGCTGCCTCTTGCTATCCTCCAGGAGGCAGAACAAGAACTATGCTGGAGAAAAGAAAGCTCAGTGATGACAGACCTAAAACCATGTGAGGATCCTAAAACCATGGGCGAGGAATCCATGCATTCATTCTGTTTCCCTATTGGCTACTTGGGTCCCTGATGCCGCTGATACCATAATGGTTTCTCTCCTGAGTCTGCTGGACTTACTACGTCCATTTTCCAGAAGGTGGAGAACCCTTCAGCAGTGGCAACCAAGCTGCCAGAGCTCTGACAGACCACTGCTGGCAGACCCCACTCTGCATCCACCCACGCTCTGCCTCCTCAGGATCTGTGTGAGTGGTAATGTTAGCTAGGTGGTGAAATATTAATAAAGAAAGGTAGCAAAGGGAATTAGACATTATTAAGCATAATCAACCAGGGAGAATAAGCCTGTTTAATCAGGAAGCTACAGCTTGACACTCCAGGGGATAGCAGCATTGCCCCGCCATGGGGATTAATATCGCTCCCTTTCCCCATGCAGGGAGCAGCCCACCCTCCAGTGCAGGTGTCAGGGGGGCAGGGGGAGGTAAGCACATGTGCAGTACAAGTCAAGGTGGCACGCGGGGGTGGGGGTGGGGGTCTTCCTATGAGGCATGAGCAACAGGAGCCAAGATAGTGACCATAGAGGCTGTCAGCCCAACCTGGGAAAGAGGAGGTTGGTTAGGAGGCAGATCCACCAGAAGCCCACGAAAGCTTGGGAGTTGATGACTGGTTAGTTTGAAGAGAGCCTTGTCCTTCCCAAGCCCAAGATAATATAATCCCAGCTAACAAAGCCTTCCTTCCTCTCCCTCTCTCCCCCTCTCCCCCTCCCCCCCTTTTCCCCTCTCTCCCTCTCTCTCTCTCCCTCTCCTTCTCCCTCCCAGTAACACTCGCTTGCCCTGTTCCTTTCCGAGTTCTCTCTGTAGCAGTCATGCAGTTTTAGCAGCCACCTGGGGCCCATGGCTGACCACACAGGCTCCAAAGGACTAACCTTTCACATGACACATAAACTGTGGACACTGGTCTTTGTTTGGGGCTTGATGAAGACAAGATTGGAATTTTTTCTACAGTGGGATGGATGCAGATGGGACATTGGAAACCCAGGGACAGCCAGCCTTCTATTTCCACCTAAATAAATCCTACCATGTCACAATCTTCCAGATGTGGGTCTGTGGAATGCTTTCCTCATGAAAGAACATGATTTCCACCAGCAGCAGTAACAGACTACGGCCAACAGAGGAGTCCTGTGCTTAGCTGTAGCTATCAGGGGCACATAGGGGAAAGTTCCTTGTTCCGTGGATCATTCTTTCCCTGAGCGGGAGGTGAGGTTTCTATGTGAATCTACTCCTTGACCATGACATTATGGGAGGGGACTAGAGATAGCCATCAGGTCCACTGCTGGTGGCTGCTGCAGGAAGCTGAGGTCAAGGTAAGGCAGCTCCTGGATCACAAGTTTCTCTACCTTTGTCCCTTACTTCAGGAGGGATGGACCATCTGTGACCCCATGCTGAGGGTTGGATAATGGGCATAGACCCATAAAGGGCTTCATGAGCTAAGCATCTGGGGGCTTGACAATGAGGCACCTGTGAAAGGGCACAGGGCATGCCCCAGAAGGCCGGGGTGCCCCCTCGTGACTCTGGTAGTCTCTATCAACAGGTACTGAGTAGGGTCACAAAGCCAAGATTATACAGTCCCTCAGCTCAGACTGAAAGTCAGCTTGAAAATTTCACTTTTGGGTATAACCCACCAAAATTGAAAGCTGGGGCTCAAACGTATGTGGTATAGACATGCCATGGAATACTCAGCCATCAAAAGGAATGAAATTCTGACACAGGTTACAACATGAATGAACCTTAAAGGCCTTATTCTTTTTATTTTTTTTAAATATATATTTCACCGATCTTTTACTGAGAGGAAAGGAAAGGAATAGAGAGCTAGAAACATCGATGAGAGAGAAGCATCGATCAGCTGCCTCCTGCACACTCCCCACTGGGATGTGCCCGCAACCAAGGCACATGCCCTTGACCGGAATCGAACCTGGGACTTTTCAGTCCCCAGGCCGACACTCTATCCAGTGAGCCAAACCGGCCAGGGCTTGAAGGCCTTATTCTAAGTTAAATATAAGGCCAGAATTGAAAGGACAAATAGTGTATAACCCCACATATATGAAGTACCTAGAGTACTCAAATTCATAGACAGAAAGTAGAATGGTGGTTCCCAGGGGCTGGAGAAAGGGAAAAGGCGGGGGGGGGGGGGGGGGGCGGATATTGTTTAGTGGGTACAGAGTCTCTGTTTGAGAAGATAAAAAGTTTTAGAGGTAATGGTGGTGATGGTTTTATAACAATGTGAATGTATTCAATGTCACTAAACTGTACACTCAAAAATGGCTAAAATGGTACATTTTATGTTATTTATACATATTTTAACACAATCTATATATATAAAAGCCTAAGCAACCAGACGACTGACCAGTAGCTATAACAACCATGGACCACCAGGGGGAAGATGCTCAACGCAGGAGCTGCCCCCTGGTGGTCAGTGTGCTCCCACAGCGGGAGCACCGCTCAGCTGACAGACAGGCACCAGACGCCGGGCTCACAGCTGGCACCTGATGAGCGCAGCTGCACCAGCCTCTCCCACAGACACTCCCCCTGAGTGCCCAAGCTGCGGCAGCAGCAGGCGCAGTGAGGCCGGGATGAAGAGTGCAGCGCGATGCCCAGCCAGGGCTCAGGCTTCTCCCCGGCCTCCTGCTGCTTCACGCACTACTTCATGCTGTGCGGGATCAACGCAGACTGTGGGCTGGAGCCCGATGAGCTGTAGGGTAAGGCTGGGCTGCAGCGGCGCGGAGGTCCACTGATCCCCACAGGCCAGGCCGAAGGACCCCCCCCCCCCACCAGTGCACGAATCCATGCACTGGGCCTCTAGTAAAAAATAAAGATAAATAAAAAGTCTGCCTGGTTCTACTAAATGGCATTACTGAGATAGACACATTGGAAAAATCTGATAAAACCTTTTACTCATTACCTCCCTACAGGAGAAAGAAAATCTATGAATAACTGTGGGGCACCAGATGTTGTGCACCACTAGATATTTACAAAGAGCCTTGGCATATGTCAACTAATTCAATTCAACAACCTCAAGAAGTGCACAGAAGTTACCATCACCTCCATTATACAGATGCAGATGCTGAGGCTCAGTAGCACAGGTAGTAATGGACAGAAAAGAATATTGAGGTT